AACCCCGTCTCTACTAAAAATACAAAAAATTAGCCAGGCGTGGTGGTGGGCGCCTGTAGTCCCAGCTACTCGGGAGGCTGAGGCAGGAGAATGGCATGAATCCAGGAGGCAGAGCTGGCAGTGAGCTGAGATTGCCACTGCACTCCAGCCTGGGCAATAGAGCAAGACTCTGTCTCAAAAAAATAATAATAATAAATAAAATAAAATAAAAATAAATTAGATGGAAGGAAGTAATACAGACTAGAATCAAAGTTAATGAAAGAAATAATAAAAAGAGGCAGAGTCAACAAAGTCAAAAGTTATTTTCTTTGAAAAACTAAATCGAACCATACTCCTACTGAGATGAAAAAACACACACAGGTGTGCACACACACACACTAATAATAAGAACTTAAAAGGGACATATTTCATATTCTGCAGATATTAAAAAGCAAATGAATGACAACTGCAGTGACAAAGACCAACACATAATAAGGAATAATGTATAATCGTGCAAATGTGAAATACGTTTAAAATAGCTTTTTAAAATGCAAAATGTGAAAATGTGGTTGCTTTTTAACTTAATAATATCGCTCATTAACTATGTACAAGACACTGTGCTAAATTATTTTACTTTTATACCCATCTCACAATTCTAAGCTTTCTTTCTTTCTTTCTTTCTTTTTTTTTTTTTTGAGTTGGAGTCTCACTGGAGTCTCACTCTGTCATCCAAGCTGGAGTGCAATGGTGCAATCTCAGCTCACTGCAACCTCCATCTCCCAGGTCCAAGCATTTCTCCTGCCTCAGCCTCCCGAGTAGCTGGGATTTCTGGCAAATGCCACCACACCCGGCTCATTTTTTAGTGGAGATGGGATTTCACCATGTTGGTCAGGCTGGTCTCAAACTCCTGACCTCAAGTGATCTGCCCACCTGGGCCTCCCAAAGTGCTGGGATTACAGGTGTAAGCCACCGCACCCGGCCAAGAGTAACTTTCTATTCTTGTTTATGGAAAATGAAACTCATAGAGGAAAAGTGACTTATCCCCAATGTCACACGATCAGTGAGTGGGGTAATCATTAACCCAAACTGAGGTCTGGCTTCAAAGCCCATGTTCTTAACCAGGGGGTTACACTGACTGACAGTGACTGCTCCTTGCCTGGACAACTTCAAACATGTTGGATGCCTCCCTGGTAAGAAAACTAGAAAAACAGCTGTGTTGATGCTGCTAGATGGCCTCACTCCTTTTCACTCTAAGGTTCTCCTCATCTTTCTCCTTTTGTCATAGCTCACTATTTCTCTTCTTCTATATCTTTCTCTCTCTCTTTCTCATATATGGTCAGCAAATCAGGTTCTTAACTGCTTGACAGAGGTTTTCATAGATGAGGTGGAAACCTCTCTGAGAAAGAGGATGAAGCATTGTCTCTCCAAACACTTACAGGTTAGAAGAGAATGTTGATCCATCCTCCCAGAGCCATGGTACCTCAGTCTGGGGCCGAGAAAGGCCTATCCAAAATGAATTATCAGGTTGGGAAGACACTTGTTTTACTATAAATCCCTGAAACAAAACATATACAAATATATAACAGAGAGAGAGAGAGAGAGAGACCATTATCATGGACACTGAGAAAAAGACAGCTGATCGAATCACTTTGGTAAAGAATGCATGCCTAACCTGACATCAACCTGTCATTGAATGTTTCAAAAGGCCTATCTTATTTATTTAAAGTAATTATCATTTAATTTTCCAAAAGAATAGATTTATAATGTGAAGATTGTACTGCCTCCATTCAACCTATCTGACAAAATCCCAGATGACAGGCCCCCTAGGCAGTTTTCATGGATGATTAGCCATTGTCTTCTCCAATTGAAGAAATAAATTGATGCTACTTTTGTTAAGAAATATTTCTCAGAGTTAGATAAAAACTTAAAAATGATTTAGTCCAACTGCATATTTTATGAATAAGTAATCTGAGATTCAGCGAAGATATCTGAATTGTTTACAAATCTATAACAATTTATTTTCAATTATAGGCTGGCCTAAAAGTCAGATAGACTTGTAACCCAATACTCTTTCTTTGCCATACATGTAGTTCCATTAACTTTAATATAAATTATTACTACTGAGTAAGGCATTACAGAAACAAAAACAAAATGAGAATAGTGAGAGTAGATGTAGAAGTTATAGACTGGTTTAGATTTATAATGTAGAATGTTTCCTGTAAACACCTTCTCGTACCTCATCTAAGCTCTACCCTTCATTCAAGTGCCACTTTTTCTGAAAACTTCTTAGGAACACGGGAATCTCTTTAAACTCCTATAGCATTTATTGCCAATGCCAGATATTTAACTTTTAATAGCTTCTGAGTTGCTTTTTTTTTACTTAAAAGATTGTATGTGTCCTGTGATAGCAGGGTTATTTTTTTTTTTTTTGAGACGGAGTCTCACTCTGTCTCCCAGGCTGGAGTGCAGTGGCCCGATCTCGGCTCACTACAACCTCCGCCTCCCGGGTTCAAGCGATTCTCCTGCCTCAGCCTCCTGAGTAGCTGGGACTACAGGCATCCACCACCACCCCTGGCTAATTTTTGTATTTTTAGTAGAGATGGGGTTTCACCATATTGGCCAGGCTGGTCTTGAACTCCTGACCTTGTGATCCGCCCGCCTCAGCCTCCCAAAGTGCTGGGATTACAGGCGTGAGCCACCGCGCCCGGCCAGCAGGGTTATTTTTTAACCCTCTTTGCCTTTCCCAGTATCTTGCAAAGAGTAAATAATTTCTAAACATATATTATCATTGTTGCCATTTTCTTGATAATTATGATGACAAGGAGGAGAATTTTCTACTTCACCAAATTTAACAATTGAAATACAAATGCACAAAAATGGGTAATGGCCTGATTATTGCAGTCATGCATACATGGAGTGTGTTTGAAACGATTTGTTTTAAGGTGAAACACAGTTTTTTTTTTAATTAGTTAAAAGTAAATAAAATTAGTTAAAATAAAAATAAAAGTATATACTATGCACTTTATGTGCTTAAGGCATGCTATGATTATAATTATAGAGATATTAAAAATGACTTTTGGCCGAGTGTGGTGGCCTCCACCTGTAATCCCAACACTTTGGGAGATCAAGATGGGCAGACCGCTTGTGCCCAGGAGTTTGACACAAGCCTAGACAATATGGAGAAACTCCATCTCTACGAAAAATACAAAAAAAAAATTAGATGAGCATGGTGGTGTCCCCTCTAGTCCTAACTACTCAGGAGGCTAAGGTGGGAGGATCCCTTGAGCCTGGGATGTCGAGGCTTCATGGCACTCCAGCTTGGGCAACAGAGTGAGACTCTGCCTCAAAAAAAAAAAAGACTTCATTTTAGGAAAAATTGTCATTACCTGGAATCTCCCTCTATTTTCCTTCTGGATACAGACCACAGATAATTACAACAGAAGTTTACACTTACCAATTCCTTTGAGCTGTCTATCTTTATGAGATTAGAGCCCAGTTGCGAGCATTGTCTTTTACTTCCATCCCAGGAATTTAGTGACGGGCTGAATAGGTAACAGCTCTTCTCATATATAATCCAATTAGGAGGACAAGGGCTGGAAAGAACCCCTGGAAATAAAAGATTAGTACCATGAGGTTCATAGCACACCAATTCACTCTTTTAGTATGAACACCATTCATCTTAAGGACACTTATGAAAAAACCAATGAGTTGCCATTATTATATTTCATTTTCAATTCAAACTACAGTGATATGATTTTACAGATGAGAATACATTCAAATCTTCCTATTCATTTAGAATTTAAAAATCAATTAGCTATAAATAGTATTTTAGGCAGCCAGCTATCCTTTTTTTCTTGATTTGTCTTCTATTCCTTCTAATTTAGCTCAAAACTACCTTTCTCCTTAATAACTCCTTAAAATAATTCTACTCACAATCAATCATTGAGGTACACCGCAATTTCATATTGCTACTTAACTTATTTTATGATGTAAGATCTACTTTAGAATGTGACTTTCCAAATGAAAAAAGTATAGGTCAGTTATTCATATTACACACTATCTCTCTTATATGTTATTAGCTACTTAATAAAAATAGTGAGGAGGTATGGGTCCAGAGATGAAAAACTGAAGTGAAAACATTAAGTCATAGTCAATTATGATGCAATTAGAAGTAAAGGTCAAGTACATATAGAATTGTAATTAAGTAAATGAAATTGTATGATTAAACAAATTTGATGAGTTTTCAGGAACGTGTGTATTAGGTCTACCTCTTTTGTATATTTTTAATATAGCTTCTTTATTCTTGGCAACATTTTCCCTTCTTTCCTTTCTCCCTGTCATTCTTCCTTTCTAATGTCATATTTCCTATTCTAACTGTATCGCATTAAAAATATCAATTCTGTAAGGGGAGAGAACACTTTTCTTTTATTTGTATCAAATTATATGATCTCCTGTAGATCTAAGCACATAGCCAGTGATAAATCGGTTACTGATTTTAAAAATTAATAAAGTCCAATTTAGAACTGTTCGGCCACGTGCATAGAGTACTTATAATTTCACCTTATTGCATATATGACAGGGATATATTACACTAAGTTAATACTAATATGTGTGCTTGCCTTAAATGTACAATCATTGAATCTAAGCATATTTTCCTTACACCCCTGCCCCAGGCCTCAGCACCAACAATTAACCCTCTTGAATCAAGATTCCATCCTTTAACTATGCCCTTGCCTGTGGTTTTGACAGCTTTGGTAGGAGTCACACTCTCTTCTAAAGGTGATTGTGTGGGTTGACTGTGGTTCTCTTTATTTCTTGATGGAAAGTAGCCATTCTCCAATGAGTTGCTTCCTGAATTGGGTCTCCAAATAGCTTCATATACCAACAACAATAATAGCGACAGAAAAAAAGTCATTCTTCTATGTTTGAAAATGAAAATCCCGAAACCCATATGTTATTGGAATAAAAGAATACATTATTGATTAATGATAAATAGATGATATATTGCTGTGGAGAAGTAAAGATGATTGATAGAATAGATGAAAAGAAATAAATAACTTTCATAACGGAGGTATAGTTAAAAAAGAAAAAAGAATGTAGAGAAGAAGAAATAGAACGAGGGAGGCAGCAAGAGGCAAATGTCATAGAGTCAACTGGACCCATGGCAGATTTGAAATAGCAACATCTTTCACCTTTCTTCTATTACTTAAAAATGAGAGATCCTTGAGAAACTGCCCAGTACCTATAACATAGAATGCACTTGACTAAGTGCATCTGACTAATTAAGGAATGTCATGAAGACTCTCTGAAGGTGTTTAACAATAGATTGCATGTGATATAAAATCTAAAAAAAAAATTCATCCATTACAAAATACCGACTTAAGACCAAGTGCCTCAGGAAATTTCTGGTCTATTCAAAGGTGTTTATATTAAAGATCAGAAATAAGTTCCCTAAATAATGTGACTCATAAAAACAGCTTAATGTCCATTTAGTGAATTTATTTCATTAGGAAGACAGCACTATATTGTACTTTCTTCTTCGGCTCCATGTGTTTCCTTCCATTAATTTATTATCCTTTGGATTCTACAGCTTTGAAACCAGCTATGCAAGGGAGGTAGGAGAGCAATGCAGTTAAGAGTATGAGTTTTTTAGACAGATCGCCTAAATTTCTAATCATGGTCCCACCACTAACTAGTTTATAACCCTGGAAAGGTAAAATAACCTCTCAGTCTCTCACACCCTTTATAAGTGAAATGGGCATTAACAGCTCCAACCCAATACAGACAAAACCAGATTACATACAAATTAAAGTAGATTATGCATGTCAAGCCCTTAAAAGAGTGCCTGGCACATAATAATTGCTCACTAAATTGTCTGTTGTTGTTATTGTTGTTGTTGTTCTTCTCCACCAAATACTCACCCATGGTACCCAGGACCACAGCTATTACCAGTATCACCAAGCATAGGATTCCCAAAATCACAGCAATGAGGCGCCAAGGAGGAGATGCAACACAAGATCCTGAGGAGCCAGAGGGGGCAGAAATGGAATAAAGAAAGAGAATGACAGACGGTGGGGCACTTCAATTCTACAGTTCATCAAAAATCTGGCCTTGCACAGTGGCTCACACCTGTAATTCCAGAAGGGAGACAGAGGTAGGAGGATTGCTTGAGGCCAGAAGCTCAAGACCAGCCTGGGCAACACAGGGAGACCCTGTCCCTACCAAAAAAAAAAAAAAGAAAGAAAGAAAAAATTTAACTAGCTGGGCATGGTGGTGAGCTCCTGTATCCCAACTACTCTGGAGGCTGTGGCAGGAGGATCGCTTGAGCCCAGGAACTCCAGAGCAGCATGGGCAACAGAGCGATACCCTGTTAAAAAAAAACAAAACAAAACACAAAACAACAATAACAAAAAATACTGGCAAATTTTAAAGTGAATTATTAATCACTGCCTAGGTTACCTAGTTATCAAGGATTTGCTGTGTTTTTCTCCACTGGTAAGGATACCTCTTCTTCAATTATAATTTCAGCACATTGCCTTGATATCTGTATGCTCCTAATTTCCGCTCCACATTGGTATCTACAGGTCATGACATTAGTAGGATCCCTGAAATCCCACTGATTCTTAGAGGAAATAGCTTAATGTTGGGAAGAGAGCAATGATTACCAAGGGTAATTTTCCCTTTTCATATGTTTGTTGCATGACCCAGGGCAAATTACTCCCTTTGTTGTTTTTTATTCCTCTTTGTGAAACTGGGGTAATAATATCTCAAAGGATTATTGTGGGAATTAAATGAGCTAACACGTATAAAAGCACCTTGTTTAGAGACTGCTAGCTCATTATAGGTGTGTTGTTACAGGATACCGTTTGCCTATACATATGCGTAAACATGCACATGTCTCCCTACCTCTTGCCTCACCCACTTTTTCCACCCTTCCTCAATAGGTTGCCCAAGAAAAGAATTATATCAGTACTGAGAGGAAAATATTTGTACAATGTGAAGAATCAGAAAGCAGAAGAAAGCAAACTCTGGTGTCAAAACCAACAAATGATCTATCTCTCTCTCAAAGAAAATAGGGAACTAATTTTGTATTAACATTGCCGTAACCAGAATGTATTTCTGCTTTCCACTGAGACTAAGCTGTCAGGACATTTCATAGAAGTGTCACATAGAGTAGGCGAAATCACCCACTCTGTGAATACAGAGATCCTCCAAAGCCCTTCTTTCTATTTCATTTCATTTACTTTTTGTTTAAGACTCATGTCCTGCCGATGGGATGTTTTTATCCACCATATATTAATATATTTTCCTTCACTGGTATACCAATAATTGTTTTTTGTTTAAAAACAATTTAATCTCTTACCACAAAAAAACATGTTGTTCATATATATACTTCTTTAAGTTTCCTGGCCTCCATTCAATAATCTAGCCTTTCTATCAAAGAAGCAACAAGTCACTCATACGGAAATCCTTTATCTTTGTGTATTATCCCACTTATTACCGATTCCTCACTGATGAAATGTCTATATCTGTATAAAATAGACATTGTATTTTCTACCATCAAACATAATTAATTTAAATACTAATAATTGGTCACTGAATAATTTTCATGAAAAAAAGTTTAGGGTGCATTCAAATTATCTTCAGTGACATCTGAAGCCCTTTAAAAGTATATCCATAAAAATGTACACATCACAAGCCTCTCAAATTTTCCCCCCTATATCTTTTTGTTTTGTTTTGTTGTTTGTTTGTTTTTATTTATTTATTTGTTTCAGAGATGGAGTCTTGCTCTGTCACCCAGGCTGGAGTGCAGTGGCGTGACCTCGGCTCACTGCAACCTCCACTTCCCGAGTCCAAATGATTCTCCCGTCTCAACCTCCCAAGTAGCTGGGACTGCAGGTGTGTGCCACCATGCCTGGGTAATTTTTGTGTTTTCAGTAGAGACGGGGTTTCACCACATTAGCCAAGCTGGCCTCAAACTCCTGACCTCAGTCAATCCACCCACCTCGGCCTCCCAAAGTGGTGGGATTATAGGTGTGAGCCACTGTGCCCGGCCTCCCCTTGGATCTTTTCAAATGGGAGAGCTAAAGGCATACATTAGAAAAAAAATATATATATACCTTTCTCTGAAACAACAGCTATCCTGGTATTGCTTCGAGAGTCGAAGTGTAATTGAGTATATCCATCTTCATCCAAATTTTCTAAATCAGGATGATATTCCATTGTTCTTGAGAGGCCCTGAATAGACATAGCATTTGGGAGCTCTCTTCTTTCTGCTCCTCAGATGACTGCCTGTGGAGGAAAGAGAATCTCTGAGTCAAATCATGTGGGATAGGTACTTACTGGGGTTTAACAAATTAAGCTTAAGTAGTTCAGCCAGATATTCAAGAGCAGGAAATGAAACTATGCTGTGGTAATTTTCCATTTGTACCTTTAGATCCTGTTTCTGAGACTGCTGACTCAGGAAAACTAAAAGGTAGCATAGCAGATAAGTCTTTGTTTCAGACCAAATGTAAGAAAAAATGCATAAATTAATGTCTTATGCTGCCTTCATTACTCTCACAACTAAATCTGACATTAATTAATTTAACCTATGCAAACTATTACAGTTTTGGTGCTCTAAGTTTACCATAACTTTGTTGTAACTTTGTTCATGTATATATTCATGTATTTTTTAAATTACATAAACAGGTACTGAATACCCACCTTTTCAATTGGCGGGAGCTTAGAATACAAGGAAAAATGATACCTAAGAAGAAAGACATCGCCTAATAGAGGAAATATATAGACAGGTAAATGAGGGATGGCATGAGGAGGTGCATTGTTGTAACAACAGACAGAGAGACAGAGAAAACAAATCTCTTTAATTATCAGATATTAATAACACAAAATAACAATTATTTATTGAACAATTACTATGAGCTAGGAACCACATGTTGCACATGTTTTCTTGTTCAATCTCACTTTTCCAAGTCTATATAATAGGCATTATTATTTCTATTTTCAAACGAAAAAATGAGACAGAAAATTTAGTCTCTTTCTCAGGTTTAAGAAGCTAATTTTAAAAATTTAGAGCAAGGAATCAAATCAAAGCTGACTCTTGCTGCAAAACTCATGGTCTTTTCTGTTACACTACACTGCCTCTTTCATCATTCCATACACTTACACTGCAAGGAACAGCTTATGGAAGGTGTTGGGACTGAAATATTATGCCAGATATTTGATTATTTTTCCCTCTCTTCCAGTTTCCATAGTAATGATCAAATCAAAGAAATATAGAAAACACCTAACATTGCTGGAAACTGAAGAGGTGTTCAACTCATTTACCAGATCTTGAAGCCAGTAGAGTGCAGGAGACATCTGTGTGTTGTCAAAGATCAACAAATCTGGATACTAGTTAATGTGGTGAGGACAGGTTTTATTCGGTAATACTATTGCAACAGGAAACAGCTGCACTGTTTCCTGTTGAACTGAACTCAACTTCCCCAAAAGTAAAGCCGATGACATTTTAAAGTGGAGCGTGCTAAGGAAAAGATACTGAGTGGTGTTAAGGAAGGTTAATGTGACTAGACCCTCTGAATTTGTTAATTGGCCCTTATCCAGAGGGGAGAGAAACTTCGCCTCTCTATATGACAGAAGGACATGGTGATATAGTTGAAGTGAAGCACCCAGCTAAGTTGGTCCTTATGCTCCATATGAAAGAAAGAGCAAGATTTATCTCCCTGAATGTTTGCATTTCAAAGAAACAGCTCCCAAGTCCTTGAAGAAACAGTTCTGTGTGGTAGATTTGCTTCTCAAAGGGCAGAGAAAGAATTTAACGGTAAGATTTCTTTTTCTTTTTCTTTTTTTTTTTTAGATGAAGTTTTGCTCTTGTTGCCCAGGCTGGTGTGCAAATGGCATGATCTTGGCTCACCGCAACCTCCGCCTCCTGGGTTCAAGCAATTCTCCTGCCTCAGCCTCCTGAGTAGCTGGGATTACATGCACCAACACGATTGGCTAATTTTGTATTTTTAGTAGAGATGGTATTTCTCCATGTTGGTCAGGCTACTCTTGAACTCCTGACCTCAGGTGATCCTCCCGCCTTGGCCTTCCAAAGTGCTGGGATTACAGGCGTGAGCCACCGCACCTGGTCTAACTGTAAGATTTCTAAAGTAACTGCTCTAAAAGGAATTCGGGAGCCTATCTGTTACCAAGTTTTGACTGGAACAAAAAGTAAATTCTCCTAGCAGCATTGGGCTTCTTCAGCTGGCATTTTAAGTAGAGCTGAGTCATCGTATGGACCTCGCCTTAAGCTGCTAGAAGGCATGCTAGAGTTTGCCAAGTCTCTAGTGCAGAGATTTGGGAGGAGTTGTTATACGATGAGGGTTCTGCAGTTCTCACGGTCTAACACCTATCAAAATGGAAGAGAGCTCACGGAGAGTACATAAATGAGCTTCCCGCCTTACTTCAGCTGCCACAAAAGTCTTACTAAGTTTTTGTAGACATGTTGCAAAGTGGTAATGTGGATCTTAATTTCAACATTCATCAGTCTTTCAGTTCTATAATGCAATGTTTGGAAGGCAACGTATGAGGTTCAGGACACGCAGCCCCAAAATATGGATTCTTGGCATTTGAGAAAACAGCAGGATCAGGAAGTTCACTCTCACACCTTTCTGCATCTTTCTGCCCTGAAGCAGATCATAAGACCCTTATTCTAGAAGTATCCTTTCCCAGAGGAAAGAAACATCCTTATCTTTGAAGACACAGAGATGCCAAGAAGAATCTGAACAAATTAGCCTTGCTAAGTTCCCTCCAGTTTATTACCATTAGATCACACTCCCCTTGTCCAATGTAGGGGAGAAAAAGTAATATCTTTTCCTTGCCCATCACAAGGTTCATGACTGAGACCCCTACAACAAAAGACAGATGAACAAAACAAAAGCATATAAATGTTTTATGTCAAGAGAGCCTTCTGAAATGAAGACACAGGGCAAACTGAATATTTCTATGGACAGTTATGCAGAAGTATGATTGGAGAACAAAAGGGTATAATCTAATGGTAATAAGCTGAGTAGAATTTAACAAGGTCTGTTTGTTCAGGTAACTTCTATTAAATTAATTTGGATGCTATTCTCTTGTTAATCTATGTTTTATTATAGGTGCCATGAACCTAACAATAAGTGAGGAAAAGGAATCTTTCACCTCTGCAAAGGGATACCATGGAATTTCTCAAACAGTGAATAAATTGTCTCCAGGAAGAAGGGTCAGCCTCCTAAATAGAAATAGAGAAATAGAGAACAATAGCAAGGGGAGTACCTTGCAGTCAGTAATAAGAAGCTGTCTTTACTATCAAATCAGGCCTCCAATGGGAGTCTTTCCCTGTAGTGACTTTAACTGTCTCCCCGTATTTAATCACAATCCTATGAAAACAGTTAACTCTCTAAGTGGTCAAAGAAATTTTTCAATAAACATAAACTTTAGTCTAATTCTCATTTTTCTCCTTTTTTGTCTCTTTGTCTAAAATAAAGCAATTAAACGTTAATTACACAAATCATTGACCAACTAGAAAAACAATGCCCTTCATATGTCAAGACAGTGGGTGAGATAGTCTGTGTATTCAGAGAAAAATACTCCTCATTAAATGTTAATGCAAGAAACAGGTGGAAGGCCGAGCATGGTGACTCAGGCCTGTAATTCCTGCACTCTGGGAGGCTGAGGTGGGTGGATGACCTGAGGTCAGGAGTTCGAAACCAGCCTGGCAAACATGATGGAACCCCATCCCTACTAAAAACACAAAAAATTAGCTGGGTGTGGTGGTGGGTGCCTGTAATCCCAGCTAGTCAGGACGCTGAGACAGGAGAATTTGCTTGAACCCGGGAGGTGGAGGTTGCAGTGAGCTGATGTCACGCCACTGCACTCCAGCCTGGGTAACAAGAGTGAAACTCCGTCTCAAAAAAAAGAAAAGAAAAGAAAGAAACAGGTGGAAACAAACCAACCTAATAACAACAACAAAAAAAGACAACAAACAACAATTATCTAATTTACATTTTCAGTGAGATTTGTTGAAAACTTGCATCCGTAAAACAAGTGGGTCTTCCAAGAAAAAAGCAATCCGGCTGGGTGCGGTGGCTCACACCTGTAATCCTAATACTTTGAGAGGCTGAGGTGGGTGGATCACCTGAGGTCGAGAGTTTGAGACCAGCCTGAGCAACATGGAGAAACCTGGTCTCTACTAAAAATACAAAATCAGCCGGAAATGGAGGCGCTTGACTGTAATCCGAGCTACTCAGGAGGCTGAGGCAGAAGAATCGCTTGAACCCAGGAGGCAGAGGTTACAGTGAGCCAAGATCATGCCACTGCATTTCAGCCTGGGCAACGAGAACAAAAACTCTGTCAAAAAAAAAAAAAAAGAAAGAGGCCTGGCGCAGTGGCTCACGCCTGTAATCCCAGCACTTTGGGAGGCCGAGGCGGGTGGATCACGAAGTCAGGAGATCGAGACCATCCTGGCTAACATGGCGGTGAAACCCCGTCTCTACTGAAAACACAAAAAACTAGCCGGGCGTGGTGGCGGGTGCCTGTAGTCCCAGCTACTCGGAGGCTGAGGCAGGAGAATGGCGGGAACCCGGGAGGCGGAGCTTGCAGTGAGCCGAGATCGCGCCACTGCACTCCAGCCTGGGGGACAGAGTAAGACTGTCTCAAAAAAAAAAAGGAAAAAAAAAAGAAAAATGAGCAATCTGAGAAGAGTTACTAGAAGTGAAAAACATATTAAAATTACAATTAATGGAACCCAGAGGTAGATTGAATATTATGTCAATAAAATAGCTGAAAGAACCGAATTCATAATAGCTGAGTCTCAGGAATGGAAAACAAAACATTGTATGTTCTCACTTATAAGTGAGAGCTAAGCTATGAAAACACAAAGGCATAAGAATGATACAGTGGATTTTGGGGACTTGGAGGGAAGGCGGGAGGCAGGTGAGAGATGAAAGATTACACATTGGGTACAGTGTACACTGCTCCGGTGACGGGTGCAACAAAAATGTAAGAAATCACCACTGAAAAACTTATCCATGTAACCAAACACCACCTGCTCCCCAAAACCTATTGAAATAAAAAATAAAAGAATAGCTGAGTCGGTCTGCTCATTCACTGCTGTATGCATTAAGTAGTAGTGTTTATTCTCAGAATTAAACCTCAAAAAGTAGCATTCTTTTCAAACAAATATCAATTTTGTACATGTCTAATGTGCCTTTCTTGAAAACTCATACAAATAAATGAAGAGAAATAAGTAACCATGTAAATATATAGAAATAAATGGATACATGAATTAAACAGAAAAGATTATGACTGGGCATGATGGCTCATGACTGTAATCTCAGCATTTTGGGAGGCCAAGGCAGGTGGATGACTTGAGTCCAGGAGTTCGAGACCAGTCTGGCAACAT